CAATTGGAGTCACATAGAGCTTAAGACGTGTATGGTAACTTTGTTTCAGGGAGAAGAACATGGTGCCGGTGCTGCGAGTGAAGCAAATGTTGGGGAGGAACAAGAAATTGGTGAGGATACTGATAGAGATACATCTCTTCAGGCTGAACACAACGACAAACCCGGCACAAGTGTATGTACATTTGTCTTTCTTATGTTCCGTGTACATATAAGGAATGATTGTTTCAGACATAAAATAAAGGAGCTATTGATGAATACTGCTACAGGTTGCTTCGGGAGATGTACCCAAAATAGTTCCAGGGAGTAAAGTGGATGACTCAGTACTTGAGGACACCCCTAGTGATCCCCCTTCACCATTTGCAGTAGTTAACAATGTAAGTTACCTATAATTTTAAATAAAATTACAGTAAAACCTCTATAAATTAATAATGTTGGGACCAGGAAATTTTATTAATTTAGAGAGGTATTAATTTATCGATAAATTAATAATTATTAATTTATAGAGAGATTTTACTAATTTTTTAATTTCTTAAAAAAATTTCTATCTAAAAATAAATTTTTTCTTTATGAACAATATATTTTAAAAACTAATTAAAAGTAGAGAAATAATTATTAAGTCTAAAAAACAACACAAACTTTTTTCGAATAATAGAGTCATATTTCATCAAGTTTTTTACATATAATATTTTACATATAATATTTTAAATATATATCATAGTAATTCATATATAACATATATAAATTTATATAATGTATATATATATATATATATATATATATATATTGATAAGTTAATACAATTATTAATTTATGATATAGATGAGACCATATGTTTACATAAGCTTTTAAAAAAATTTATTATCTTATTAATTTATCGATTTATGTCATATTTTACACTGGTCCTAAGTTGGGACCAGAAGAATTTATTAATTTAGAGAGATTATTAATTTACAGAGTATTAATTTATAGAAGTTTAACTGTATGTAGAGTTGTTTAAATTTATATAATCGTCTATTATGAAGGTGATACGCGAGTTGGAGACCAAAATCCCCCTTGATGTGGATGCAGCTAATGTAAAAGAGGTAACAATTTGTTTGTTTAAAATTCTACACACTTATTAGCATACGTACATAGTATTATATGCGTACATTTATTTATATACTTGTGTACGTTAATTTTGAAAAGGGAGTGTTGGAAGAGCCGGGGATTGTCGACGGGTTGGAAGAAATGGAGGATCCAAACCAAGGGACAGATGAAGCAGACAAAACAGTTGCTACTCCAGAAAATATTGTAAGTATATACTTTATTATTAACGTCTTTTTTGAAATTGTTTAATACTGGTGTTTGTTCTTAATACTTGTTTACAGGATGAACCAGAAAAAGATGCTGCACTCGAAGCAAGAGCAGCAAAAAATGCAACGCCTAAGGTCCCTAAAAAGGTCAAGAAGCAAATTATTTTTGAGGTTGATGAAGACCATCCTGAAGGTTTTAAGGAAACAACAGTCCTCATGGATGATGAACCAGAACAAAATCCAGGAACAGAGGTGGTAATAAAGGCTGGAAATCTCCCATACAACCCCCTAGAAAAGGTTGACCCTTCCAGATTAGAGCTATTAACCAATATCATCAAAGGAGAAAATGTGTAAGTATATTGGATTATATTGGATTTACTATTATTCCTTCATCCTTTACTTGGTCAATTCTAACAACCTGTTATCAAATTATATTGGAATTACAGGAGGCACACTCTTTTCGGGTTTCGCAAAGTGGACAACGAGTTTTTCGACAAGCTTATAACACCTGGAGAGTGGGTCGATAATATGGTAAGTTGCATTAGTATACGTACACTACTCGCCACCATGTACCGACAATCTACGTACATTTTTAAAATATGATTACGGTGTACGTACACTGATTATAATGGTCTTATCATTTCAGCATTTAGAAATGCTGGCAATCTTGATGTGGCACAAGAACGGTGAACAAATGATAGCAAACAGATGCATTGTATTGGACTCCTTCCTGCTTTATGAGCTTACTAAGCGTGCGGTCGACTTCAAGAAGTATATTAATAAGCTTGCGTTCAAATGGGGTAAACTGGTGAGCGACATTGTTAATGGAGTACACATACACCGTGAACCTAATCTTAGGTGGATGAAGGATGTCGATGTGGTATATGCTCCGATGAACTGGAAAGGTGATCATTGGGTTGGTTTGTCAATCCACCTCATAGACCGGCATATGTTGTCTATGACGCTTTCATAGAGCACACGCGGGAGTCCATTGTGAAGTCAAAAATGCTGCCTATCTGCCAAATGATGCCGTACCTAGTCAGAGCGATGTGCAAGGATCTATTGACTGATAAGTACTCACTTGAGCCTTTTACTTATGATCGTTGTATGAACGTCGCTCAAAACCCAACTACAAGAGATTGCAGGACTTACACGATGAAGATTTTGGAGTTGCTTGCGTTTGGAAACCCTTTATCAGACTTGGTAAACATTCAAGAATCAGATATGGCCATTTACCGTCAGGTGTACTTGGTGGAAGTCTACGAGCACGGCAAGCACGAGGGTGGTATTAGGCATTTAGTATAATAGTCAGTGGTTGTTGAAGTATTAATATTTCCTATAACTTATTATTTTGAACTACCTATTTTGAACAACCTATTTTAATTCTGGAGATCGTAAAACCTAATTTAGTTACCGTTATCTTCTCTAACAAATCTGTACATCGTACACTTCTTTAAAAAACAAAATATGTACGTACATTTTATATAACGTAAGTGTGTTCCACAAATGTAGATATCTCTCATAAGACAACAAACAAAACCTAATAAGGATAAGTATTTCAATAGTTACATTGATTTGACATCACTGACATCTGCATCATCACTTACGTAAGATTTGCATTAAATACAACCAGATCTTACCCAACTATATCATCATTGTTGTTTATTTAAGAGTAGGAATTTAATTGATTTTGAAACACCTAATTCCTAAGAAATGTCTACACCAAATATACCTGACAATTTGTTAGCTAAGATAGCCAAAAAAATGGCTGACAAATGTTGGTGGTACCTCGGACCTCTGTTAAGAGCAGGGACTCGTGGAAGAAACATAGTCTACCGGCCGGATGTCCTGAAAGATGCTAATATTTACAGCATGTGCAGTGATCCCGATGACTTCCATGCCGCATGTCATGATCCAAACGACATCTACTCTGAAGGTCGATATAGACCCTTTTTCAAAAAGTGTCCAGAGGCTGGTAACCCGATTGCTATTTACCATGAAGGACTGCGTCTAGTTACCCATGAGTCCGACATTAAGGGCGCTATTGTACTGTTACAGCGAAATGTACCAAGGCAAGCCGATGCAACCCTGGCCTGCGCAATTCTTTGCATTTGTGACGGCAATGCTCACATGGGTGGTGTGTACCTTCGGCTTTTCGCAAGAAACCATTATGCTTTGGAATCAGAAGAAACACGTGACATGTATGAGGAGTTGCTAGAAGAAAAAAAATATGGAATTACTATAAAAAAACACTTACGTCGTGGAATTCGGACGCCTCCTTGCGCGATGATGTGTTACATCAGATCTGGACCCTTCAAGAATCTTTGCAACGAATGTTACCTCTGGTGGTGTGCAAGAAGAATTAGCCAAATTCTCTAGTTCTTTCTTTCGTAACATTCCATTCAATTTCTAAGTTTTTATGTCATAATATGTAGTATTTGAGATTTGTACTTTGATTATCAGTAATGCATGTCTTTTCATCTATATACTTGCTTGTTTCCTAGTAATTCCATGTAATACTGAATATTGTAATGGTTTTAAAAATTTGGCTTATTTTATTAGTAATATGAGATTCGAGTTTCGAAGAGTTAGTATATGCTTTATGTATATTTGATTGATATGACCCGTTGTCACTCATAATTAAAGTATTCTCACACTTATTACTAACCTCCTACTCCCCTACTCTAGCAATAAACATCAAATCAATAATATATTAAACAAGATCAAAACTTCTCCAGCATCACATTCGTTGAGACCAATTTGTTTGTTTGATGGTTCATGCTTATCTCTTACAATTTTTCAACCATATAAACTAATATTACAACAAGTAATGATGAGTTTTGCATTAATTGTGACAAGAGTCATGTCTCAACTTTTTTGGCATTAAATACTGACGTCACTTTGTTTTTTTAATGTTATTACTCCCCCTTTTCACTGTACAGCCGCACAAAACATTAAATAAAGAAATTATCTTAGCCTAACCGGAACAGTGTACCTAACTGAACCGCATAATTGAACCGTACACGGAACAGTACGTCGTTACGCTGGCAGGAGTAAAATGATCAGAATTTGGCTAAATTGTCAAAACATGAAAACCAATTCTCACTTTGCCAAACCATGAAAATAAAAGTTGGTCTTCTGCTCTGGCCTGCAATTTACCTTTTTTTTTTTGTCGATCACACATTAATTAGAAAATCACTCCATGATTGGTAGCTCAATTTGGAGAAAATGTGTTTACAAATGAAATTTTAGAAAATAAATTTCTAGAATAACGGGCTACGCGATAGGTAAATAGCATCTTTTTGATCTTGTGTTCTAAATGATTTTTTTTTTTGTATAATATATTTAGATGGTTTTATGACTTTTTTCAAATGATCAAGCGAAAGAATTTTAATTTATAATAAATACATCTTAAGTTGAACTTCTCTTCAAGACTGTCCGATGTGAATTATTTCAATTATTATCAATTGATTTTGAATCCATTATTTCTTACACACAACATTGATATGCTACTTTTGTGATACATCGCAAGAATTCGTCCGGACCAGCATTAAATGATAAGTCTTAGGTAACTTGTGTGGCACTTTACGAATATACGATATATATTTTCGGAAAATATTGCTATATCTTAGTCTGATACAAGTTAGACCAATCATTAATAAATTAGCTTCAAGCAGAAATTTAAGGTTGAGTATACATTCCTATACATTCCAGCAATCACAAATTAGTTACCATTTGTCTTTATTATTCGCATAATTATGTTTTTATTGAAAAGAAATTAAAAGCAACTTAGAATTTCACTCAAAGCTGGAACATTTCTTAGTCATTGTGACTTTACGCCCATACTTCATGTGAAGAATGTGACCAACTTTTGGCTCAATCTTTTGTCCACTGACGACCTTAATCTCATAGTTTTGTAATATTTCCACGACCACGGTCTTCATCAAATTCATAGCTAAATTCTTACCGAGACATGTTCTTGGGCCTGCATTGAACGATAAGAATTTGTAAGAAGGCTCATGTCTCAACCTTCCTGTCTCTGAAATCCATCTCTCGGGCTTGAACTCCATCGCGTCTTCTCCCCATACGGTTTTCATTCGTCCCATAGCGTAGATAAGGATCATAATATTGATATTTGATTTGACTTTGTGTCCACTTGGAAGCACATCTTCTTTGATTGGAGACTTGCGTTCGAATGGAATTGGTGGGTAAAGCCTCATTGATTCACTCAATGCACCATGTAAGTACAACAATTTGTTCAAGTACGATGACTTGTCTTGGTCATCACTTCCGGTTCTTGGTAGATATGTGTTGATCTCTTGGAGAATCTTGGTTAAGACGTTAGGGTTTTCAGACAAATTCCAGAAGAACCAAGTGAGTGCAGAGGCCGTGGAATCTCTTCCAGCGGCCATGAAACCTATTGTGAAGTCTCTGAGGAACTTATCATCACTAGGGTTTAAAAGCTCATACTTAGTTGCATCAAGCTTTATGAAGGATGTCAAAAGATCCTCACTTTCTCCATTGGTATTGTGAGTAATCACTTGTGAACTTAGTTCTTCTTTCTTCGCTGCTATAAGTTTTTCACAAACACGATCAAGAGTGGCATGAGCTTCCATCATCTTCTTCTCTGTTCCGACACCAATCCATTTTTGTAGCTTCCACACGAACCTTGGTGTAATATGCCTATGCACAATCGCATCTCCCACATCATCAAGAGCTTTGGCAAACTCAACCTCTGGCATTTCAATGGAGAGATTTCTAGGATCAGACCCTGTTATAATAACAAAGGTTATATCGAACATGAATCTCTGAAACACATCTTGCAAGTCCACAACCATCTCTTCATCTGCAAAGTGATTGAAAAGAGGTACAAGCCCATCCTTGAGCTTACTCTTCGTGGTACTTGCTGAGAAGTTTTGGTACCTTTGATGATTCAATATGATCTGAGATGCGTTCCTCCAATTCCTCCATAGCTCAGAGTCCGAGTTGATGATCCAGTCTCCGTAAGCTTCAAATAATTCGTGGAAAATAGGACCTTTGATGTAATTTGAGAAGTTTGAGCTCATTATATGATGAATATTAGCTGGATCAACTGTGGCTAATACATCCATTCCAACGAACCATGGACCCTTGAATTGAAACGTCAAGTTGGAGTTCTCAAGAACCTCGACACTGTAGTCATAGATGCGCTGGAGCCTCAAGAGCCCACCGGGAAGCATTCCAAGAACCGGCCAGTTCCAAGGGCAGCTTCCAAGGGTTTTCTTGATGGGTAAGTAACTGAAAGGTTTCTTGACAAGGAAGTAAAAGAAGATGAGAAAGCAAAGTAGAGCTATGAATGCTTCAAATAACCCTATTGAAGTCATTAGATAGATTAGAGAAGGTTATTTTCTTTGTACAAAGAGATGAAGCAGAAACTCGAATTTATATACACACAACATTCGTCGTCAACCAGGCGAATTAAAAAGTCTATTGTTGCATTACATTTGAATTCCACACTAAAGATATGTTTTAAAAAGAGTCATTTTGTATTATAATAACCAAGGATTCTTGTTGAAGGTTAATGTTTACCGTCTCCTATAAACAAGGAGCACATAATTCTCATTTATGGTATCCCAGTGCAAAGTAATTTATTATCTCTATACGATTAAAAGAGGAGTACAAAATAGTTTTGGGTTGCCGGGGTTTAGTCCCATCGAAAGTTTCGTGTTTAAGTTATGGAATACATCATTTGATTTTCCATTTAGAGAAGTGTCCAAAGATAGAGATATGCACATATGAATGAATATAATTAGAATGTAAATCGTTACATGAACATCATAATCATCTATCATGATCTATTATTATGGTATGTTGAGTATGAGAAGGTAAGAGCTAGAGCCATATGCCCATATATTTTAATCCGTATTGCCAATTTATATGCAGGAAAAATGTTGTAGTTGATGTTTTTAGGAGATATGAGATATTGGCGAAAATAAAAAAAAAAGGAGATATGAGATAGAAAAAAAAAAAAAAATTGAAAGATGTATTTGTAAACATCGTAGCCAGTGTGTTTTACTTCAGACTTATCGACGTCAACTATTTTGATGGATATATATTTGTATTATTGTATATATGCCCACTCTTTTTTATGATAGCTAAAACTGAACAGTAAAAATATAGCTTTTCATGATCCAAAATCTCCACAAACATATAAAAAATTGCTTAAACAATTGTTACTCTTTGAAAGAACAAGGGTTGCCTGCCCCTGTCCCCCTGTAATATACCTTTCAACTCGGTTCCACCCATATTTTCAGCCTCTTCTTATTTTTGCCTGAACAAATTATATTCTTCTTAATTCCACCCAATCTTGTATAATTCCACCTAATTCCCCAAAATCAATTATCCTCTCTAATCGCGTTTTAAAATCACTAAATCGCGTTTTAAAATCGATTTATCTCGAGGTACACCGTAGGACTATATAACTAGAAAATATATATAACTAGGTTTTAACCCGCGGTGTACCGCGGGGCTATATTTTTAAAAATAAATCAAAATGTAATTTGTTTAATAGATTACCTATATATATGGCCTAATGTTTGTATTTATAAATGTACAACTTTTATATCTATGTATTATTTAGTGTATCTATATATACATTTTTGGAGTATCTTTAGCAAATAAATCTTGGAGTTCCTCCTTATTTACGAGTCTATGCCACTGGCATTTATTATTTAGTTTTACAAAATTTAAATAAATAATATTAACCAAACGATATCTTGCCTAATTGTTTTCTAAAAATCTCTACACAATCTTTTCATATATCTTCAAAAACAATTCCGTGAATTTTACTCCACAAAATATGCATAAAACCGATTTATAGCAAATATTTATATTAACATTTTGCATAACAATAAAACTACTAATTTATAATAATCAAAATATTCACATAGAAAAATCATATAATTTATATGATAAATTTAAAATATATATTAGTAGTAAAAATTTAAAATTATTCAAGGAACGGTATACCACGGATGAGAGCCTAAAATTATTGGATTTTATAACAATAATAATTTATTTTCTTGGGTTTTATAACACTGTTAATTTAGCTAACGGGATAATATAGATGGGTTTATATGGGATGACGGGTTTGGGTCGATATTAATAAAGAACGGTATATCACAGATGAAATCATAAAATTAACAATCAAAATACAATTATATAACCTTAAACACAAAACAAAACATAAAATATTAACAAAACAAGTACAACTTAAAATTTAAAAATTTTAGTTATAAAAGAAAAACGACCCACGATATACCGCGGAGTAAAATATTCAAAATTTTAAAATTGACCATACATCGTTACTTAAAAAAATATATGTTTTCGTATCTATACTTCAAAAATTGAAACCTAAACAATAGTAATCATACACTAAATAATACATAGATAGATATCTACATTTAAAAATACAAACTAATATAATATATCTTCAGTTAATTTTTAAAAAAATAACATTATATTTTTTTTTAAATATAGCCCCACGGTATACTGCTGGTTAAATTCTAGTAATTACTATGTTTGATGTTTGCCGTTTTAAAATATAGGAACGATAATATACAGTTCATTAAGTATCGATTTAGTAGAGAAATAAACTGTTTAAAAAAAATGGACATAATAGTATTTAAATTATATTGTTAAATTTTTAAATGTGAGTAAAGGATAATTTGGCTTTCTCGTTTTGTTTGTTTCATATATAATTAATCTAACACTTTAATAAATTAGGCAAAAAAATTTCGTATCAATTTGAATTTGTAATTTCTTAGAACTAAATTTGAATTTTTAGTTTTTACAAATCTCTATAAACTAAACATACATAGAAAAAACATATTACAACACAAAAACATTAAACTACATTATAGAAGAAAAATATATGTTGTGATTTAGTAACCAGAATTAACATTATAAAAACCCGTAATTGTTAAAATTGTTCAAATTTTTCTATAAAACCACTACCCTTACCAAGCAAAAAAAATCCAAATTTTCTAAAGTATATATCACAAAAAATAAGAAAAATGATAAAAATAATAATAATGAAATTTAAAAATAAAAATCTCATTTTATTTTATTTTAAAATGTTTCTCTAAAAAAAAAAGAAAAAACTGAACTTGTTAGCCTAAAAAAAAAAACATTTATAAAAATTAAGATTATGGAGAAAATCATATTTTTGAAAAAAGAGAACTGGACATTAAAAAAAAAATCATATTTTTGAGATATATTGTATGTGTTTATCATAACAATTAAAATACGATTTAATATCTATTCTCAAAAAAGATTACAAAATATTATTTAATTATGTGACGATCATTTTGAAAGATTTTTGCCATTAAAATCGACTATTTATCAGGAGCATTAATATCAAAAAAAATTCCATTAAATTTGTATCTTGTTTATATTTGTTGGAACCATATTCTCGTAAAAGTGCATTAATGTTTTACAATCTATTATAAGAATATAATTTTGATAAACCGTTCAAATAAAGAAAGGACCCAAATCTATTAATTTCGAAATATATAAAGTAATTTTTTTTTTTTTTTTTTTTTTTTGTCAACCGCTATTAATTAAGACTCAAAAGAGCCATTCCTGAGGAATGTTGTTTACATACGTGATGTGATGCGGTTCGGTACGAACATTTCGTGCCAATTTATCCGCTTTTACATTTGCACTACGAAAAATTAAAGATAAAGAAAAATTTGTGAATTCCTCTTTGTCGCTCTGTAACTCCTCCAAATACGCTGAAAATGCCGGCCATTCGGTTGGAGAAGACACCATCTTCACCAGGTCTGAACAGTCTGTGAAAAAAGCCACATCTTGGTTATCGGCACCTATCATGCACTTCATTGCCCAAAGAAGAGCTTCCACTTCGGTATGTAAGGGAGAGAGACTTCTACGCAGGTTTGCAGCTCCCATGGTTGGCGCCTCTCCATTAACTAAGGTACATACCCAGCCTGTACCTGAAAATTTATCACTTTTTTTCCACGATCCATCTATGAAACAACGATGGCCAGAATAAGAGGTATCCTGAGAAATATCCCTTACTCGAGGTCGAGTATCCTGAACCAACGAACCCAGATTTTCAGCATGTAGCTCGACTTGAGCTGCCTGCCACGATTGTGCCTCTTTTTCCGCTAAACATAAAACCTCACGTGGATCTTTATCCACATTATCGAAAAGCTTCTCATTTCGTGCTTTCCAGATATACCAAATTATCCAAGGATATGACGTTGAATCGAATTCTGAGGGTATTCTCCAAAATAAGTGGTCCAAATTTGCATAAATAGAAGCTGAGGGAAACGTTCCTGGAACCGTAGGTATCTGCGAAAGTGCCCAAATTTGCCGTGCAGGGTGGCATTCAAAAATTGTATGATTAATAGTTTCCACTTCCGCACCGCACCTTGCGCATCCTATGTCACAATTTATCCCTCTTTTCCGCAGATTCTCTGTGACCGGAACACAACCTGCTAACATTTGCCACAAAAAGTGACGTAGCTTCGGCGGACAATGCACTTTCCAAGTATGTGCTTTTAGTAAATTGATTTGTGGGCCAATAAATGACAAATTATTTTCCTGGTTTTCTAGCCGGGCCGTATGATATCCAGATTTAACTGAATATTTTCCGGATTTTGTGAAATGCCAACCTAGAGTATCCTCCTTTGTTGGCGCACCCAAATGCAGAGCGCATATCAGAGAGACGTCTTCCGGAATAAAGAGCTCATTTAAGAGATCCATCTTCCAAAAATTTGTCCGTGTATCTACAAGATTATTAACTTTTAACGACGGGTCAATAATAGAACCGTTGCTTCTTGCTGGTCTCGGGAATTGAGCTGGAATCCACGGGTCTTCCCAAACTGAGATGGAAGCCCCCGATCCGACTCTTTTAATAAGTCCTTTATTAACCAGAGATCTAGCTGAACATATACTTCTCCATCCATAGGATGGAGAGTATGATTTAATATTATCCAGAGGATTGGATTTGCGAAAATACCGACCTTTGAAAACTTTCGCAAATAGAGAATCTGGGACCGTAATCAACCGCCATAATTGTTTTTTAAAACCGAGATTTAAGCAAGATTTTAATCTTGATATTTTTTTTGATATTTTTTATTTGATATTTTATACTAAATAATAAATATCAATGGCATGAATAAGGTGAAACTCTAGGATTTATTTACTAAATGTACTCCGAAAATGTAAATATAGATATATATATTTTTTGAACTATGCTATAATAGTGATAGTATGCTGAAAATCCTTAGAGACCGGCTTTACATGATGAATGACAGTGGTCTATAGGTAGTGGCAAGTTTATGCTTATGAGATGTTGTTCTCATACTCGACCAACAAAGAAAAAACTATGAACACTTCAAATAAGCTTATATCAATCAAATCCGGTAGAGAATTATGTGTAACATATTAAAGGTGCAAAATGAGTCGGTCCTCCATATGACTCGCCTTGCGATAAGGCAAATATATTTTAACTCTCGGCAAATCAATTTATAAGATCTGTTGATAACAAATAAGAAATCCCAGTATCTATACTCTGTGAATGTTTGTGGTCTTACGGAACTGTCTACGAATTTAACTTTTGTTTTTTTAAATGAATAAAAAATACACATATTGTTGAAAATTAAATTAACAATTTTTTAATAAGAAATAACCTTTTTATTATTTTTTATACTAGTTTTATATCTTACATTATCATATGTTTAATATATTATACTTCAACACTTATATGAAAATATAATTTATTAAAAACTAGTAGTCCTATTTATTAGACCTGTAACTCACAGCGGACAGTTCCATGAGACATGTTTCTTAGCAAATCTAAAATCTTAAATTCATTGGCTCGTCCACGAGTTTTGCCCGTTTGACATCTCTACAAAAGGCTAATCTTATACGCACACGATAATACTACAACCACATGACCGAGTTCCAAAATCATGAGTTTATCGTTTCAATGGTTTAACCGGGTGGACTAATGCCAATAACTAGCAGTTACAACATCGACCTTAATATTTGGCGATAACTTGCAAAATTAAACCTCTATACATTAATACTTTATCGAGTATTAATTTATAGAGGTTATACTTTATCGCTATATCTTAAACTATGGTTATGCGAAAGGGGGAAAAACGGTCTATTTCCCCCCGAGAACTATCGCATCATAACAGATGCAGCCCAAACTTTGACCCCGATCCTAATGTCCCTGAAATTAAAGTTCAATACCTATTTCCCCCCGAATCAAAAGTTCAATTCTTAAATCCCCCCGAATCAAAAGTTCGAGAGTTACAACCCCACGGTTCCGGGTTTAGTCGGTTTACCTAAAGCCTAAACCCAAAGCTAAACCAATTAAATGTTATGTTAACCAGAATAAACCCTAATCTACCCAATTTCGACCCGATTTCACTCTTTTAACCAAAACCCACTACCCGATTTCACTCTTTTAACCAAAACCCATCAAAATCGAAAACCGAAACCCTAAAATCAGAACTTCAAAAAATCCCCAAATTTCCCGACGAACCCTAGAGAGAAATTTAGAGAGATCGAAGCTTCCAATCTCTGGTGCTCTCAATCGAAGGATGGCTGTAGTCGTTCGTGACCCGAATATTGATCCTATTGGTGATGTTGATCCTGAAGGTGAAGACAGAGACCAATTTCACATCGAAGAAATGTTGAATGAGTGGACTGACGAACCTCATATTCGCCACGACGAGTACCCAGAGAGCGATGCTGAAGAGAATGGCGATGGTCCTGAGAGATTTCATACCCATATCAGACGAGGTGATGGCCATTTGTACCCGAAGCAAACTTTCTTCAGTGGAGTTGCTTTCAAGGAGGCGGTAGTTGACTATGCTCTTAGGACAGGATGCAATCTAAAGCAGTACAGGTATGATAATGATAAAATTGGCTTTAAATGTGTTGGTAACGATGGTAAGGAGGAAGGAGTACGGTGTGAGTGGCAAGTTTATGCCGCGATTCTTCCTAAAGATCAAATGTGGAAGATTAGGAAGTTTATTGATAAACATAGCTGCATCCCTAATGGAGAGTGTGAGATGTTTAAGGTGCCACATATAGCTAGGCTGTTCGTTGATAAGATTAGGGATAATCCAGAATTCTACTTGCCAGCTAAGATTGAAGAAGTGATAAAGGAACAGTGGAAGATCAGTGTGACTAGGAATCAATGTCAGGCTGCGAGAAAGAAGGCAAGGCAATGGATTGAGAAGGAGTATGATGATCAGTTCGCGAGATTAAGAGATTATGCCGCTGAAATACTTGATTCTAATCCGGATTCACATGTAGAAGTTGATTGTCTGACCAATGAGGAAGGTAAAGACATGTTCAATAGGTTTTATGTCTGTTTTGATAATCTAAGAAAGACTTGGAAGGAGAGCTGTAGGCCTCTTCTAGGTATTGATGGCTGCTTTTTAAAGAACAAGGTAAAGGGACAGTTGTTGGTAGCATTGGGTAGGGATGCTAATAATCGCATCTATCCTGTGGCATGGGGAGTAGTTAAAGTAGAGAATACAGAGAATTGGGTTTGGTTTGTGAAGAATTTGAAGGAAGATTTGGGATTAGGTGATGGTGAAGGCTACATCATGCTTTCAGATAGGCAGAAGGTATCTTCTTTTGTCCCTTCTGTTTTCTTTTGTTTTTTTTCTTTAAATTCTGTTGTACTGATATATTGGTTTGTTATTGATTTCAGGGTTTGATCAAAGGTGTTCATCTTGAGTTGCCAAACATAGAGCATAGGATGTGTGTTCAACACATATATGGTAACTTGAAAAAGAATCATGGAAGTAAAAGCCGCATGAAGCCACTGTTATGGGATTTAGCTTGGGCTTATAATGAGAAAGATTATAAGCAGAAGCTAGAGAGGATCTTCTGCTATGACACAGTTGTCTTCAATGACATCATGAAGACAAATCCAATGAGTTGGTGCAGGGCATTCCATAAGAGAGGCAGCTACTGTGAGGATGTGGACAACAATTTCACTGAGTCTTTCAATGGTTCTCTGAACAAGGCAAGAGAGAAGCCATTTGTGGCTATGTTAGAGACTATAAGACGACTTGCTATGGTGCGGATTGCAAAGAGGTCTGTGGAATCTCATACTTACACAGGTAATGCTCTGTTTTTTTTTTTTGTGATATGGTGAGGATAAATTTGAATATGTTTTGAGATATCTAAAGCTTTTCTTTTTGTTTTGCAGGGAGCTGCACTCCTTATGTTGCATTATTTCTCTCAAAAGAACACAAGTTTGCTTCTTTGGCAAAAGTGACTACAAGCACCAATGGGATGTATGAAGTCAGGCATGGTATTGATTCTCATCGTGTGTGCTTGAAAAGCTACACATGTACATGCCAGAAGTGGCAGATCTGTGGCATCCCGTGTGAGCATGCGTATGGAGTGATCTTGGACAAGAAGCTTGCACCAGAGGACTATGTGTGTCATTGGTTCAGGACATCAACCTGGAAAAAGAACTACACTGATGGTTTGTGTCCACAGAGAGGTCCTAAGTTCTGGCCTGAGACTAATGCTCCTGCTGTCTTTAATCCACAGCCACCAGAAGGAGAGAAGAAGATGACAAAAGAGGATAAGAAGAGGAAGAAGGGTGTCAATGAGTCTCCAACTAAGAAGGCAGCAAAGAACAAGAAACGGATCATGCATTGTGGCATTTGTGGGATAGCTGATCACAATTCTAGGGGATGCCAGAAGAAAGCTAAGGTTTGTTTTATGTTTTGATCCAATTTCATTTAAGTTTAAGACATATGTTGCTTCTACTAACATTCATTTATGTCTTACAGGCTTCTCAATCTGTTTTGCAGCCTTCTCAACCTGAACCAAGTCAAGGTTCACTCACTCAAGCTTAATCAAGTAGTAGCTAAGTAGATGTAGGGCACTAATGTGGTTGTCTCATTCTAATTTTCGATCACATATGACTTGTGTATCCCTCTGTTTTGTAAACCTTTTGAATGTTTCGGATGGATGATTGTTTCTTTGTTTTGTAAACCTTTTGAATGATTTAAAGAATGGTTTAAAGAATGTTTGTTTCTCTTGTTTTGTTTTGAATGTTTGGTTGTCTGTTATGACCAATTCTGAAAAACACATCATGACCAAACTAACCCATTTATCCAAAACAAACATCATTCTCTTAATACAAAACAAACACCATTCTCTTAGTACATAATGTCTTGATCATAAATCCAAACTCCAAACTACAAACACCATTGTCTTAATAATAAATCTAAAGCTAGAACCAAAACACAAACATTCACCAAACACAAAACACAAACATTCAATGATGTTTTCAATGGTTCATCCGACTAATTTGTTGAATCCAATCATGATCATACACCCTATCACTACGACAATCATCATCTTCTTACTGCTTCCTTTGGCTTCAGACAAAGCATCTTCCACCTTCTCAAATATCTCCTTCTCTATCTTCATTTGGATCTTCTCGCAAACGATCTTTTCTACCTCCAAAGTCTGTGTTTTAAGCTCTTTTAGCTCCTGCTCAAGTTCACCTACCTTTTCTTTCAATGTATCTATCTCATTCAACAAGGCTTCATCAACCCATTTGAATGTGTGTTCATCATTCCTAAGCTACAAATTAACAATCATTGGTCCATTAGCAGAATCTAAAACAAGATACAATACAAAACAGTTGAAACAGAGGCATGAAATTACCCTATGTTTTGCAGCAACACAACAACGATAGTATCTCCGGCAAGGATTGGTATCGGATTTTGAAATTAGTGCTACAATATCTTCTCCGCACCAACATCTCTTCGGCACCCCGAAGACTCTGCCTCTTCCACGAGGACCTGTAGATCCCGTCGAACTCAATGAAATGTTGCTCATCTTGCAACTCGAATTCTGGGTTTGAAGTCGATTTCGAATTTAGGGTTCTTGAAATTGGGGAAAATGATTTGGGGATTTCGAAGTTTGGGGTTTAATAGCATTGGGTCGGGTTATAATATGGAATCGGTTTTTTTTTGGTTAAGTTACGACCAAAAATCTGGTTTGGTCTCGGGTTTACGCACCAAACCGACGAAACCCAGACACGGGGACATTTAGATGTTGAACTTTTGATTCGGGGGGAAATAGGTATTGAACTTTAATTTCAGGGACATTAGGATCGGGGTCAAAGTTTGGGCTGCATCTGTTATGATGCGATAGTTCTCGGGGGGAAATAGACCGTTTTTCCGCGAAAGGGTCTAAAACAAGTTAGACCAATCATTAATAAATCAGCTTCAAGCTGAAATTTAAGGTTGAAAATACATTCCATCAATTACAAATTAGTTACCATTTGTCTTTATCAGACCATTCTCTTTATTATAATTACGTTTTTAGCGAAAAGAAATTAAAAACAACTTGAGCATTTCACTCAAAGCTGGAACATTTCTTAGTCATTGTGACTTTAAGCCCATACTTCATGTGAAGAATGAGACCAGGTTTTGGCTCAATCTTTTGTCCACTGACAACCTTAATCTCATAGATTTGTAGTATTTCCACGACCACGGTCTTCATCAAATTCATAGCTAAATTCTTACCGAGACATGTTCTTGGGCCGGCATTGAAGGATAAGAACTTGTAAGAAGGCTCATGTCTCAACCCTCCTGTCTCTGAAATCCATCTCTCGGGCTTGAACTCCATCGCGTCTTCTCCCCATACGGTTTTCATTCGTCCCATAGCGTAGATAAGGATCATAATATTGATATTTGATTTGACTTTGTGTCCACTTGGAAGCACATCTTCTTTGATTGGAGACTTGCGTTCGAATGGAATTGGTGGGTAAAGCCTCATTGATTCACTCAATGCACCATGTAAGTACAACAATTTGTTCAAGTACGATGACTTGTCTTGGTCATCACTTCCGGTTCTTGGTAGATATGTGTTGATCTCTTGGAGAATCTTGGTTAAGACGTTAGGGTTTTCAGACAAATTCCAGAAGAACCAAGTGAGTGCAGAGGCCGTGGAATCTCTTCCAGCGGCCATGAAACCTATTGTGAAGTCTCTGAGGAACTTATCATCACTAGGGTTTAAAAGCTCATACTTAGTTGCATCAAGCTTTATGAAGGATGTCAAAAGATCCTCACTTTCTCCATTGGTATTGTGAGTAATCACTTGTGAACTTAGTTCTTCTTTCTTCGCTGCTATAAGTTTTTCACAAACACGATCAAAAGTGGCATTAGCTTCCATCATCTTCTTCTCTGTTCCGACACCAATCCATTTTTGTAGCTTCCACATGAACCTTGGTGTAATATGCCTATGCACAATCGCATCTCCCACATCATCAAGAGCTTTGGCAAACTCAACCTCTGACATTTCAATGGAGAGACTTCTAGGATCGGACCCGGTTATGAAAATGAAGGTTATATCGAACATGAATCTCTGGAATACATCTTGCAAGTCCACAACCATCTCTTCGTCTGCAAAGTGACTGAAAAGAGGTACAAGCCCATCCTTGAGCTTACTTTTCGTTGTACTTGCTGAGAAGTTTTGGTACCTTTGATGATTGAATATAATCTGAGACGCGTTCCTCCAATCCCTCCATAGCTCCGAGTCGGAATTAATGATCCCGTCTCCAAAAGCTTCAAAAATTTCGTGGAAAATAGGACCTTTGATGTAATTTGAGAAGTTTGAGCTCATTATATGATGAATATTAGCTGGATCAACTGTGGCTAATATACCCATTCCAACGAACCATGGGCCCTTGAATTGAAACGTCAAGTTGGAGTTCTCGAGAATCTCGACGCTGCAATCATAGATGCGCTGGAGCCTCAAGAGCACACCGGGAAGCATTCCAAGAACTGGCCAGTTCCAAGGGTAGCTTTCAAGGGTTTTCTTGATGGGTAAGTAACTGAAAGGTTTCTTGACAAGGAAGTAATAGAAGATGAGAAAGCAAAGTAAAGCTATGAATGCTTCAAATAACCCTATTGAAGCCATTAGATAGATTAGAGCAGGGTTTTTTTTTTTGTAGAAAGTGAAGAAGAAGGAACACTCGTCGTCAACTAGGCGAATTAAAAAGTCTATTGTTGCATAACTTGCATTGCATTTGAATTCCGAGAGAGGCATCTCTAGATCCACACTAAAGATATGTTTTAAAAAGAGTCATTTTGTATTATAGTAAGTAGTAACATTTAAGGATTCTTGTTGCAGGTTAATGGTTACCGTCTCCTATAAACAAGGAGCACATGATTCTCATTTATGGTAACCTAGTGGAAAGTATCTCTATACGATTAAAAGAGAAGTATAGCAGATTATATTTTAAAACAAGTTCCACACACAAATTTTATATTTTAAACTGTATTTTGTATAGCAGATTACATAACTATTTTCTTGGTCTATACGTACAATGAGTGTATAAACAGTTATGGTTTACTTCTTATTTTGGAAACCAGAGCTTCTTTAATCGTAGTTAAGTATATATCTCGGATTCGCAACGTACACTACAAGAAATATTCACATTGATAGCATCTAAGCATAGCTCATTTTTCGTAACTGCTATGAAAGATTATTTTTTTTATTTTGATTACTATATCATAGCACCGAGAAAACGCTAGGATAAAAAATCACTAAGCGGGAATATGAAATCACTTATTCCGCCAATACTTAGACGAAAAAATTCACTTAACCTCCATATGTTTCAGATCCAAAACATTTTAAGCCAACAAAACTTTCCCTTCTATTCACGACAAAACCTAACAAATATTTACAAAAAAAAAAAAATCTCCCAAATCAAAAGCTAGGTCTCTTCCTTTTCGACTCCGACTCCACCATGAAGCTCGTCGCGGCCTCAATTCGCGTCGATTCCGTCATTACCCTTCAGCCTCAGCCTCTTTATCTTCGATCTACTCCTCCACCATTCAATCTTCCCACTTCTCTCTCCGATCTCAGATCTCCCTCTCTTTCTTCGATTTGTGACGAACGAGAGCTTAGCTTCTCCTCCAATGGCGGTCAACTCCAATCATCGCTTCCTCTCTTTTTCTTCGGTGCTCGTCGGTTTTGCAGTGAAATGGCATGGCTTCTCCTTGAAACCAATGACGAAGCTCTTGGTTAACTAACTCCGCCAGAGGGATTACTTCGAGAAGCACAAATTCAATGACTCTTCTTCTTCTTTGCCTTCATACTCCTTTCAAAATGGTAATCTATCTCAATTGGTTACTTTAGGGTTTTTAGTTTTCTTAAAAAAATTTGGAAATTGGAAGCTTAAAAACCAAAAGGTACTCTTAATTATGAAAGATTGTGTATGAGCAGGGAATGTGTTTTGGTTTCTCATGTAACGCCTCAATTGAGTTTTTCTGGATCCAAAGATTCTTAATTGTGTTATGGAACGTGTTTAACATAAGCTCACTGCGTTTTCTCTTTAGAATTTTCTTCTCTTTGCGTTTGATTTTTTGAATCAGAATGTTGGTTTAGTGTTAAGAGGTTTTTCCTTTCATATGATTTCCTGATGGGAATATGTGAAGGGAACCGCATACACTAAAGAGAAAGTTGTATATGTTGTATTTGGAGTCAAGCATTTGAAATTCTGTTTGTGTCTTCTCTCTTCAGATTCTTGGGTTTCGTTGTCCTTATTTGCTGCAGCTTCTGTCTTCACTACAAGAAATATCTACATTGTTAGCAAGAGAAAAAAGCTATTATATGTCATCAATAGCGTTTTCATAAATGCTGTCTTATGCCCCTGTTATGGTAGACCCTCCATATACGATGACGTTTTTAACATGCTATAATAGACCCCCACATACGATAGCATTTTCATATTATAGCATTATTCAAATGCTATAATATACTTTATTATAACACACGTTTAGTGCTGTTTTATATAATGTCGGAACATTTTTTTCGTTATATAAATAAATTTTATATTGGAACCCAATTTTGTAAAATTTACTTAATTTGACAAACACGTCATATTATATATAACTTTTATATTTTATAAATCATCAACAAGTAATATTACATTAACCAATTAGCCAAACAAGTCTTACATAACATCATATCAAATCTTATACTATCATTATAAGTCTTAAACAAAATAGAACTAACATCATATGGACAGAGACAAACTTCGATCTCTTCAATTTCTTCTCCTCTATCTATTTCGCCTCATCAAAAGGAGAACGCATAAAACTTTGATTTGAACAATTGTTCCTATTAGCACTCCCGTCGATAGGCTACATGAAACAAAAGAACAAGGGGACAAAAGACACCATCTTAGAAGCCTTATTCACTAAGATGAAAAAAGAAATCGACACATGGGAATACATCTACCAAACATACACATATGTATACTACGTACTTGGTTAGCTTGGACATAATCATGATAGCCTTAGAATTAAGGTAATATGGAGTTTAAAACTTGAAAAAACGTCTTACCACTTAAGCTCCTACAACCACATGCAAGCTCCTTCTCCTAAACTATTTATTCTGCAAAACCAAAAACCAAATTAATAAATCGAGAAGAAGGTTGATTTGCAGATGGGAAGAGTAAGTATCTTAGTAAGTATCACCAACAAACAATTTATTCTGAAAAAATTAGCTTAATGAAGTTAAGAATCAGATTATACTGCAATAAATACACATTACAGTCCCATTAGAATATATACCGAGGAATAAAAAAAAGGGAGATTAAGAAAATACATACCCATTCCAAAGGCAGGAAGTTCGACATCATTGTACTGCTGCATATACCTCTAAACAAATCCAATCAACAAAAACTCAGTTACATCAATCATCCTAGACACAAGTAATAACCACAAACACCTAATTCCGAAACCAACACACCATGAGAATAAGCTAAAATAGGATGATCAAACTTGCAGCTATCTCCAAATTTACTTGTTCTTGTTTGCATATAGTGGGTACAATCTTTCTCTCTTGAAAATAAATTTGGGGTGATAAATGTGGGAGATACTAAAGCAGAAACCAAAATATAGCATCAAGAATCAATTGTATCTTTAGTTAAACTTACAATAAGAAAATACGGTTTGCATATAGTCATTTCTCAATGTCTATTGGAAACCATAGATTTACAACAAAACATAAATTATCAATCAATTCTGCAAAATCACAAGTGTTCCACTAAAAACATTGAGGTCAAATTTAAAAACAATTGTCTTTAGGAAATTCTAAAGTAACAAAGACTTAATCAAGAACACTACAATAAGCTATATAGGTTATAGATGTAACTCGATCTAAATAACTAAGCATCCCCTTAGAGATGATTCTAACTTTCAAGTTTTGCGTTGTCCAAACTCAAAACAAAGCAATTGGTCAAACCAATGCAACCTAGATTTCAGCTAACGAGAAAGCATAGAGGAAGACAAAGCAACATCCTTGTGCTTGACCAAATGTAAATCAAAATCTATACTAGGAAAAGTTAAGCTAGAGACCATGATTAAAGCTGATTTTTTTATGCTGCAATTGAAGAAACAATCATTTCCGCTACAGAACTAGAGAATCACGATGAGCAGATGAACTAGAATACAAGCCATTTGCCTATAGATCCTCTCGATCGAAAGAGATTGTTCAAGTCCAGAAATTTGAAAGCTTAGAATACGAGTCACATATCAATCGAATTAAACTATGTACCTTTGTGAGATTGACGTAAAAGAACAATGGTTTCTTGGTGTTTGAAACCTGAATCCGATTTTACTTCTGGGAATCAACGGCCAAGTTCATGTTGTTCACTCCATCGGTGATCTCTTCCATGGTTGCTAATTCGGATCCGTAACCCTAACTTTTTCCGAGGTAAGGGGATGACGAGTAAACAAAATTAACAAGAGACATATACGACGAGGAGAATCAGCGACGACATCGGCGGCTAGGGTTTAGAGATGAGAGGAGACGATTCTTCAGGATGGTGACGAATCACCTGAGACTGGAGGAAAGATGAACGAATGGAGGCAAAATGAGGCTGGCGAAGAGTTTCGTGGAGTCTATGGCGGATTGGAAGAGATCTAGGTTTTTTTGTCGTGGAGTCTATGGGTAATTTTTTTTTGGCTTTGGTATATATGATGGCACTAAAATTTTTTAGATCTGATATATATAACTCTTAAAGTGGATTTTTTCCTAGAAGTATTGGCATAATAAATGATTTTAGCTTTTCGTTTAGTAATTTTTTTATCTTAGCGTTATTTCAATGCTATTATATAGTAATCAAAATAAAACATTCATCTTTTATAGCAGTGACGGAAAATGAGCTATCTTCTTGTGCTATCAATGTTGATATTTCTTGTAGTGCTTCTTCTCTTCTTTGGATTCCCTTATTTTCTTCAGCATCGGCAACAAGTTAAGGCTCACATGGACTCGCATTTTGGAGTAGAGACTCCTGCGGAGAAGAAGTTAGAGGATGTAATGCCCATTGCAACTGGACATGAGAAGAGGAGCTTGAAGCTGAATTGGAGGTGATTGCTTATGTTTTTCTTTATCTAATGCAATTTAAGATCTGAGTATAATACAATTGTGTTTAATTTGTTTTACTGCAACTCCACTTGCGAACATGACTTTTATTTCATGTTCATTTCTGGTATAACACAATGGTGTATATATCTCTGCTTCATAGTTCTCCAGTTTAAATCTGAGGAGCTTAGGGTTGAAGAGAGTAGTAATACAGCGACGAAAAGGAAAGAAGGTGGTAGAGATGTCGTAGTCGCTGAATCTGAGGAGCTTAGGATTGAAGAGAGTAGTAATACGGTGGAGGAGAGTGAAACTGAAGCAGAGAATGAAGAGAAAACAGAGTTGACTATTGAAGAAGACGATGATGATTGGGAAGGAATTGAGAGGAGTGAACTTGA